CATGGAACATTTGTTCCATTTGCTGCCAAGTTTGAACCGAGTTCGATGGCAAGTTGACGTACCACGCGAATGCAGGGCCGGTCAACGAGTTGCCAAACAAACGCAACTTCAAGAAACCACTCACATCACCACACTGAACCGTGAATCGTCCAACATGCTCGATGGTGGACTGATCCCCAGTCCCGCTGAAGGTGATGAAATCAGGCACGCGAAAACCACGTGGAAAGGGGTAGTATCTATCAACCCAATCCGGATATGGTTTTCGATACACCGGCTGCATCGCTGGTCTAATCCCTAAACCAAACTGATCCGCCAACATCTGTGCTACTTGATCTCGAATCACATTAATGTCTTGCCCCCCGAGTTGCCCCCCTTGTGGTACGAATCCACCAGGATCCATTCCAAGCCCATTTGGAGGAGGAGGCACGTTTTGTGGGTAGCCGCGTGGCGGAACATGATCATTGTTGATCATTCCTCCACCACCCGCACCGCTCATCGGAGCCACGTAGGGTCTGACCTCCGGAATATTTTGTGGACCCACATTGTGCACTGGTGGTGGCTCAACACGAGTGTTAGCCGCAGTGCTGGTATCGCCAGGATTTACTCTCGACGGACTTGTTGGGTTCACCACCGGTGTTGGCGAAACACCCTGTCTCGGCTGAGTATCTCGGCCACCATTGATCGGAAAGCTATTGGTGCCAATGTCGTTGTGTAACGGATTCTCACCGCTTAACGGCAAAGCCCTTGTTTGCGGCACTGGCCTATTCAAAAACTCTCTAAAATCATTAAAATCACGTATGTTACTTTCAAAATCCATTCTGTTTTTATCTAGGACTTCAACCAGTTGGCTAACGCGTCTATCAATCCGAGAACTAAGGCCATCAAGACATCCATCCAAAGAGGCTAAGTGAAGTTTTACCTGTTGGTTATCAGCCATGACTTGGCGAAGCATGCGTGTTATCTCACCCTGGTTGGCATTTTGCGCCACTGCTGGCACTTCCCCTCCGGCGTCGTTGCTCGAACCTCCGTGTGAACCGCCACTCTGGTCAGTCTCTACATTGACCATTGGCTCTTCCTCCACTGAAGTTGATGGAAGATCGCCCTCGTGATTCTTCCTTCGCGGAGCCATCCGAACACACGTGTCCCACTGGGCGTGCCAATTTGTTTTGTTGGGGAAAACTCGCGCGTTCAATGCGCACTGTTTTCAAGTAAGCACAAACACAAAGTCAGCAAAATCGTCAAATATCCGCCCCCGAATGTCGGCGCCGTTGATTTGATCGATTATATAGAAATCAAGACGACCGTCAAATATCCACCACCGATGTCGGCGATGTTGATTTGATCGATACACCTTTGACTTCTAATCAAACAACCGTTATTCGGTTCACCACCTCTCCAAACTACGTTCGAACGAGGGTGTTCGGCGAATAACCAGAAAATCGAACCAGGAGTTCTCAGTTACGTTACCGCTACTCCTATGGAGGTTCCTCTTGAGAGCTCCACAACTACGACTACAACTACTATGACTCTGCAAAGGAGGTCTTTGACAGAGCGGTTCTACGAAACTACAGAGGAAAACTGATAGATCTGCGATGGTGCAGTTGTGATTTGATTTTGCCGTCCGAACTTCTCTCTCTTCCCAATCTTTATACTTTGCGCTTCTCCTCATCGTAGTAACTGCCTTCGCGCCTTTGTCTCCCACGTCTTCACTCCCGTCAACCGTGCAGGTAACTTCCTCCTTGTTGCGTAACTCCCACGAGTGCGAAACCGCTTGAGCACGTGGCAACTTGGTCCAAAACGACGCTGAGCCGAAATCCACCATTGCTGAACTCTCGTCACTGCGACGTTGTTTTTAATTAAACAACATCGTTTCAGAACCGCGACGGTGTCGACATCTCCCATGATGTCGTTTTCGGTTAAAGCGACACCGTCTTAACTGATCCTTAAAATATTAATTAAACCGGCCCTCATTGTTGACACGCTGTCAAACTCTCACTTCGCGACGCCGTTCTTAATTAAACAGCATCGTTTTCTATTTCTGCGATGCTGTTGAACTTTGCGATGCCGCTTTAAATTTAACGTTGTCGTTTTAACAATTGCGGCATCGTTTCGCATACTCGTGGCACTGCTTTATAATCCGCGGTGTCGTTTCTTTTTCTTGCGGCATCGTTTCCAACTAAACGACACCGTCCTAAAAAATAATTAACCACATCAGTTAATTAATCCGGCCAATAACTAGTCAAACCAACGACATCATTAGCGCCCAAAACGGCTCCGTTTGCCTCTCCCTTCGTGACATTGTTTTTAATTTAAACACTGTCGTTTGCTAATCCGCGGTACCGTTTTAATCCTCCGCGATACCGCTTGTCTCCATGCGGTACCGATTTTCCCTTTCCGACAAGGAAAAAAGATAATAATTAATTATATAAAAACTCCTTTTCCAACACCCGATTAAACGCGCGGCTCCCTTTTGTTTTCTGGTGACCGGTGCCGTTTCTAGTGCCGCGGTACCGCTGAGCTTCCTTGCGGTACCGTTTTTCCCTATCCAACAAGCAATAAAAAATAATAATAATTAATTATAAAGCTCCTTTTCCAATACCCAACTAACCGCGCGGCCCCTTTTGATTTTCGGTATCGTTTCCAGTACCGCGGTACCGCTGAGCTTCCTTGCGGTACCGTTTTAACTCCCCGCGGTGCCGCTTCTCACAAGGAATAAAAAATAATAATTAAATAATTACAACTCCTCCTCCAACCCCATTAAACGCGCGGCCCTTTTTTTTTATTTTCAGCAAGCGGTGTCGTTTCCAGTGTTGCGGTACCGCTGGGCTTACTCGGGGTACCGTTTTTTGTTTCGCGGTATCGTTTTAACTCTCCGCGATACCGCTCGACTCCAAACGACACCGTTTTTTACCCACAGTATCGAATGAAATACCGAGACTAATTCGTGCGGCATTTAATTCCGGCCGAATTAATTTTAGGTGTCAACACTAATAGAATAGTATAAGCGGAAGGGAAGATGCTCGCTCTCGCGGTACCAATTCTCTTCGTTAGCCTTTGATTTCATTCCCTTACATGGTGATTCCTGCGGGAAGCAAAAAGATAAAAAAAAAAAAATAGTTAAGAAAATTATCTGAAGCTAACTAGAGATTAGAGAATACCAACACAGAGGTATAGACGGAGACGGAGATGGCGCCTCCATATGTATATCGGCTACACTGTAGGTAGGGTTAGGGAAACGAAGGAGAAGATAATATATCCCTTTGTTGTGTGGGTTTGGAATAAGGAGTGGTGAAGTTTCGTAATTCTTTTATTGGCAGAGCCAATAAATCCAAAAAAATTCAAAGACTTAATTTTTTGATAGCCCGGGTGATTAACCCGCGGTAAACAATTGTTTCGGGGACGACCCCGAAAAACTAATATCCATGTTTTCTTGCTTTTAAGGACAATTTAACCAATTTGTCCCCAATTCCACTACAATTGGGTTTTCCGGAGACGAGTACAAAGAGTTGTCCTTTATCTCCTTAATTTTGTTAGTTGCGAGATTGTGTTTATTTTGATGTACTTTTGTTTAGTTTAATGTGTTAATTTGTCCAACCTATAAATGTAGACCATCACTCTTATTCAATCAGTGGTGGACTCAGAATTATTGAATAGGTGTGTCGACAGATAAAAATTAATTAATAAAAATTAGCATAAAAATTGTATCCATAAACTTCACAAATTTCATAGTTTTTTACAATGAGTTACTATGAATTTTCATATTATGAAAGATTTCATATCATCAAACATTTTTTTATGTATGTAAATTACCGATCGAGTAAGAAAGATAAGTATATTACCGCGCCACATTAACAAGCACGGCTATAAATTTAATGAATAAATTTACAAACTGAAAAGAAAAAAGTGATTTTGTATACATTAAATGTGACACAATAACTAAACCTGAAAACAAGTTGGAAATTAACAATAAGAAAAATCTATGAAAAGAAGCTATGGAGAAAGACGAACTAGAATTTATTATCCAATTACTTGACTCCATCCATTTACTAACTATGCATAAAAGTGAGGGGAAATGAGCAAGTTTTTTCCTGAGAGATAGTTATAATACTTGAGAGATATGGAGGACTTAATTGTTGAAACTAGTACGTATAGACCATATATAGTAGTGGCCGTACATATTTAGATATATTCTATGCGGATACTTAAAATATCAAACTCGCACCAAATCCATCACCCTTTTTACCGAGTTCGATGAAAAATCACTCAAAATAATAACCATTGAATTTTTCTCCGTTCAAATTGATTTGCATTTATTTAGATACCCACGGTGATGTGGGTCCGGGTTTATCTTGATCAAACACTCCCAAACTCGCTGCTAGAACTGCTCGTGTCGAGAACCAGTTGCTCCCAATAACTCGAGTTGTTGGGAGAGGTTCAATCGTGGATCATATACCACAACACTAACACGCCCCCTCAAACGAAAGCCACTCACAAGAGTTTGAAGTTTGCACAGGTCTGAAGACAAGAATACCATGTGCTTAACAAATGGGGGTCACCGGGAATCGAACACAAGACCTTTCGGTCACAGAAGGCTCTGATACCATGTCAAGAACTAGTTGATCCCAATAACTCGAGTTGTTGGGAGAGGTTTAATCGTGAATCATATACCACAACACTAACAACTCGGTCATTTCTTATTACCTTTCCTTTAGAATATATATATATATATATATATATAGCCATTTTCCTTGACCTAGTAGACACCTAACGCCCTGGAAATTAAAGAAGAAATTGAGGCCCAAAAAAAGTCGTATCCACAAAATTCCTGCATGCAGACTTAAAATTAGTGTCATCGACGTACTTTTTGACTCACTGAATTCAAAGTCGTCGGTGGGTGAGCTTAAAAGTCATTGATCTGTTCATACTCAGCCCTGCTATATATATATATATATATATATATTTCACTGTGTATATAAATAAAGTCGAATATCGGCCGGCAAGCAAAACACAAGCGTATATACAACAGAACCAACTAAAATGGCCGGTTATAGCAGTAACGTATCAGTGTTTCTTAGGGTTTTGCTGTTCACGATCGCGGCCCTCCTCCTGACCTCTCCGGCGGCGGTCATGTCATCCAGGCATCTTCCGGCCACCGCAGCCGGAAGCACTACTTTCGTCACCCTCCGTTCATCTAGTAATAAGAGCCTCCGCCCTTGATTTCGATTCGGATGAATTAATAGAGATATTTGCATGGTCGCGACAATATATTCTGTAACTAATTAATTACAACTATTTTGATATTCATGACAACACGTACAGGAGCAATTGATTATGTTGGTGGTGGTGGTGATCGTGGCGGCTTCCGAGGGGTTTTCTTTCTCAATAATAAGTTGAACTCCGGCGGCAGGGAGCCCAACCGCGGCGGATTCAATGAGCCCAACCCGTCTGCCGGCGGCTAGCCTCGTGGAATGGCTTTGGCTAGTGGTGCCGGAGCTACATTAACAGCAAGAGAGGATATAGCGCTAGCCCTCTCAAAATATAGTAGTTGAAAAGGCGTCGTCTGATCAGTTTGAAATTTTTGTGCATTAATTACATCTGCTTGATCGGGGAACTTCTCCTTCAATTTTTTGAAGGCCTATGGCTAGCAGGCATGCAGTAATTGTTAGCGGATACAGCACCCACTCCATCTATCTAATCTAATCTAAACATGTATTATATGGGGTTTTTCCTTCAGCACCCACTCCATCTCTTTTTTCCTGGCTCCTGGGTGGAGTACGGAAGGACTCTATAGTATTTTTGCTTCTTCTTCTTTAATTCATGAATGAATGAATGCTTTGGGTCTCTTTTCTATAACGTATGTATATTAGTATATATGGGCCTAATGTTTCCTTTAGCTTTGATAAAAGTCCAATCCGAAGATATAAAACCCAAAGCATATTCCCGTTGAAACCGCTTAGGATGAGCAAGTTAATAGTAATACTGATACATATGGGTAGCAGAGATTAGAGATCCTTTTTTCCAATCAAGTAGAGATTCAGCTTTTTAATTCACGTATTCATCATTGTGGGTTGATTTTTTTGAAGGAGATGATTGGATGATTAAATTGCATTTGAGTGTTATAATCTTACAATTTAACTTATAAATTTGGTTTCCAATTTCTACAATAAAGATAATAGCTATGGCTATATATGCTAAGATTCTTATTTAGAAAGAGGTAATATATGTTTTTTTTTCAAATTATATACTTTCTACATTAAGATATTGTTTATTACATATTTTATGAGCTCGAATGATATCCATTATGAAAGAAAATAAATTGAAGTATTTTGTTTCCATGAAGTGGCTGGCAATCAATCCCAAAATAAATACTATTCTTTGATTCAAAATGATAGTCCATGGTAAACTCAATCCATGTCTTTGATTGTCCCTTATACGTTCAGTTTGACAAAATACATAGGATTAATAACCATTGTTTATTGTGTTAACAGTAACAGAGATGCACCACCTCCTTAGTAAAATCAAAGACAAAATCCCACAACTAATCCCAACCAAAAACACTACAAGAGCTCAAGAGTTCAATGAATTCATAGGATTCGGAAGAGGTAAATATGAATTTTGATTTAACCATTCATTAACCATCAAATGCTAACAATTTATGTAATACACAGGAAATATGTTTCTCTCAAATATAAGGTTGTCAAAATTAAAAATGAGCAGTACTATGCTAGACGAGAAACCTATCTACAAAAATTTGAACAAGACTTAGACGAGTATTTTTCAAAGGCAACAATGTGAGGTTTTACAATGACATTAAATGCAACAATAGCTAGATACCCAAAAAAAAACTTTACTTCAACATTGTTTCCTAACTATGTAAGAACCATACATTCGGTACAAAAAGCATCTTAACTAGGGATGTCAATTACCCACCCATGAGTAATTTTACCCAAACGCAAGTAGACCCATTGATTATGGGTTAGCATAAGGGTGAAGTTTATATGAGTTTGGGAGGTTGTAGATGGGTTTGGGTAGGATTTGGATCTTGCTTCCAGAATCCAAATGGGTATGAGTTGAATATGGATACCCATTTGATTGAGAGTGTTTTAGCTACATATAGAAAAATTGGACCTATTTGTAAAATTTAAAAAGTTTAGTTACCAAAATGTAAGACCAAAAAAAATTTGTACTAAAATGTAATTTTCCGTCGACATTTTGAGGACTTATTTGAAAAAATTAATTTTAGTTACTAAATCTAGGGATCTAATAAGTTTAGGTATCAAAATGTAATTTTCATATGATTATGGGTAAAATCCAATCCATGAATCAAAAACCTAACCCAACCCAAATAAATGGATATGAATACAAACCCATAACTCTACTCATATACCATCTATTTGGATTTCAAACCCAACCCAATTTGATTGGATAACAAAATAAGTAAAATTGTCATCCCTAATCTTAACTAGCATCAATCTTAAAACTATATAGTCAATCTTCATTGCTTCCATTATACAAATTCTGAAATTCAAGATCCAACCTCGAGTTTGTAGACATAACAGGTGAATTTGACTTTGTTGTTTTGGATTACGGTGTGAGCTTGCTTTTTTTGTTCAAGTTCATAATTTGGGCCCATTGGAGTTCATTCACAAGTCCAAATTAAATAAAATCGGTCTTGACAAAATAAACAAGAAGGAGATATGCTATTTTATACAATAAAAAATGGAAAGAGATTCTACTAATTTTTTTCGAATATAGACTTGCATCTTAAAATTTCATGTCTTATTTAAAATTTTATTCCAGACCTAATATACGATTTGAGTATAAGAGATTAGTGCTTAAAGTTTCTTTGTAGGGCTGGACAATAAATGTCATTCTCGAAATTGTTGGTGATCGACCTCTCATTCTGGTTATTAAATCACTATTTTGTCTACGAACACAATGATAAAGAAACATTTTTTTACATATTTATCTGCAAACGAATTTACAAATTTTGTAAGTGATTGAATTTAGGTCAAGGTGAAATTCATGTTATTTGAAGTTATGTATTTTGTTGTGTGTTATTACTTATTAGTTAGGAGTTTAGAAAAATCAAATTTTGGTTTCATAATAATTGTTTCTAAGATTAAAGTTATGGAGATGTATCACATCCTCCCAGGAGAGTAAGAAATGAAACTCATTCCCCACAAAAATATTGCAAGAGCTCAATCAATTGAAAATTAAAAATAAAGACGAGTTAAATATCAATTTCAATCTAACGACTCATTAATATTCAAATGCTAACTCTTTATATAATATTTTGAAAATTTTATGTTTCTTCCAATAGAAAGTTGTTAATTACAGTTGGAATGAGTGGCGTGATGCTCGACGCTAAACCTGTCCTCCAAAAATAGAAGACGATTCTCACCAGTAGGTAACAATCTAACTCTAGGTTCATTCTTTTAACAAAATATCATTAATACCCATTGAAGCATAAATTTTCTTACTAAATAGTGAATGTCAATTGCTGCCATTTTATAGAGTTCAGGATCCAACTCCGAGTTTTGGATAAAATATTACAAGACAGACAAAATGAGAGGATCTTCACCTCCTCTTCTTCTAGGAATGGAAGGATTGGAGTTGAAGTTCGACATCAAACTCACTGATTACAACATCATGAATCCCACAAGTGAGTAAATAGATTTGAAGATAAGGAAGGATTAAAGAGCGAAGCTTAGAAAATATTCAAGACATAAATGAGATTAATCTTACATGCATGAGTCTATCTCCACTATAAATCCAAGAAACAATTCTCTTGCCAAAAACTTCCTCCAATAACAAGTGGAAAGGGTCAGAGTGCACAAATATAGTGGATTGGGAGCCAAATCTGGACCGTACACGACAAGGGGAGTCAGACAATCCGCCCTCACTTTGCCACAACAATTACGTGTCAAAGATGGCGTGTGGAGCGAGGAAGGGAGGCGGAGCGTGTATGTGGTGCACGCGCAGGCCGCACAACTCTCCCTTCCTTCTGGGCATTACATAATAATAATAACTTTCACACTTTTAGTCACAAATTCTCTTCCATGGTTATTTTGGCCATCCAACAGCTCTTTTCTCGGCTTTTCCTATAAATATACTTCATTTTTTCACTACTACTTCACTTCACTACCTCCAAAATTTTCTCTCCTTCTCCATCTTTTTCACATCAGTTAAAAAATTGTCTTCTGTCTAAACTCTTAATCATGTATCAACCTATTTCTCTCTCAACAACTTCTCTACTAGGGAATCCATTAAGGCAAATGAGTTTTGAGTGGCTACAGAAATAAACGACAGTTGGATAGTTTTTTCAAGAAAAAAGGTTGAATGATGGATGTGTAGAACGACCCAGTTTGAGAGTTTATTTATACAAACACGAAATGATCCCTTCTTCAACAATGGCTAAAACTGAATGAACAGTTGATTGCACAACTCATTCCGATTAAAGCTACAAGAACAATTGATGACACAACTCATTAAGATTAAAGCTGAATGAATACTGTATGACACAACTTTATCTGAAAAACATACGATGAATCTATGGTTATCTCAACCAGATATTGTATTTTCGTCATTGATGACATCATATTTAACGACAAATATTCTTTAGTCCAAGTTAAAAAAATTACATCGAAATGTTTGTCTTAATTCATTATTACTACCTATATAAATGTAATATACAAACTATGTAATTAAAACTATGAAATCTACTCTAAACTAAGTAATAAAAAAAAAAGAACAAGTTTGACAATTTAGCTCTAGCACTCCATTGTTGGAGCAAATCCTACTTTTTTTAGTGCCAAATAATTCTAGCACTCTTATCACTTTGGCCCCTTACAGGAGATGGTCTGAAGTTCCAATTTCATGTTTTTAAAAATTATACCACTAATTTTGAAATTTAATGAAATGCAAAAGAAGACTTTGCTAATAGTGAAAGTAGTGGATTTTATAGTTAAAGATGACGACGTTGTTGAGAAATCTATGATGAATGTAGATTTCCAATTTGGTGATTGAATATTTTTATTCTTTTGTAGTACCAAACAAAGTAACTTAATATAAACAATTACTATTGTTGTTTATGTCATCGTCACTATGTATCCTTCCAATTACAGACTTTGCATAAAAACAAGTTCTCAAAAGTCAATTCTCTAACTCGAGTTTGTTATTTATTTTTTGCATTGATTCCACTCAATGAATCGGTTCGGATATTGAAAAACTCTATGAGGTTTATCCTTTCCAATGTTTCCGATAATATTGAAAATTTTAGAAAAATTAATGATACAAAAATGTATAGCAATTAAAATAGTTGATATCCTTATTTACTACATAGCAAAATAAAACCGACCAACGGGCCGGGTACGTGACTAGTAATTGAAAAGAGAGAAGAGAATTTGGGTTTAAAATTTACTCAAACAAACAACTCGGCAAGTCCTTAAAAAACCGAGGTAATTACGTACTGCATGGCCGCCGAATCGTCGTCTGAATCCTACCCGAGTTTGCGTTGTTGGTCTTGTTATTAATGGGCTTTTGTCTTTTAGCGGAAGCCCTTTTATGGGCTCGCTGCGCTCGTACAAATGGATGGGCCGGGGAAATCCCTTGTTGTGAGATCGTCTCCAAATCAGCAGGTCGTTTATCCTGCGCTTTGCGCAATTCACGGAAGGAGAGTTCTGTAAAATTAAAATGTAAATGTGCGACTGTACTGGGCCGTGAGTCAAAGCCCATTACAGCTCCTATCACCCAACTCAAATTCTAATAAAGAGTGCCTCTAATAATTAACGGTGCCTCACTTATATAGCTCAGGGCCGTGAGTCTATTATTCTAATAA